AAATCTCCCGTGGTTAAGTCCAAGGAAGGAAAAGGGCAGGAAAGGCCAATGTGATTAAGGAAGGATATAAAGATTAGTATGAGGAGCCTAAGAGGGAGGCTTAAAATATCTAAACAGTGATTTAGAGATATAAACTATTTATAAAACACAAGTCGTCAGAAGTCCAGAGAATAATTACCCCAGAGGAAGCGTCACAGCTGAGCCTTGTAGACAGTGCTCCATACCATGTGGTCTCAGCCGTGAAGGGGCCTTCAGGACGCTCTCCAGCTTCTCCTCGCAGGGGCCCCGGGTGCCTGAAGGAAGCCAGGCCTATACCCCTCATCTGCTCTCTGCAGCCCCTGACCCCGGCTCCCACCAGTGGGAGCAAGGATCAAAGAGCAGGCACAGGCGAGGGAGGATGGGGGCCCCGGGGTTAGAGGATCAGGCTGGGGAAGGGTTTCTACCAAGGTTGCTGCAGATGCAGGGACAGAGGGATGGAAGTGCGGAAGGTGGTGAGGACAGCTATGGGAGAGCAGGGGGACAGTTTGGGGACAAAGGCCAGCCTGCGGAACATATCCAGGGCTTTTTACCCCAAAACAGACGCAGAGGAGGAAGCCCTAGGTGGTATTTACACAAGTCCTCTGATGACAGATAGGATTCCTAAGACCCTGAAAGTGTTACCTATCGTTATTTTAAACAGGGATAGGCAATGAAACAAGCAATTATAGGCCATTTAACTTAGCATCACTTACAGAAAAATATTAGGAAAAGTTTTGGGGGGCCAGGAGGAGACAGCATAAGATAATCTGATTAGAAACAGGCCACACATTTTCACTAGAGGAAGGTATGTTCATTAGCTTGTTGGACTTTGAAATCACTGCTGTCTTTGTTCTAGATTTTAATCTATGATTTTATATAATATTTATAAAAAGGAATAAATATAAGGTATTTAAGTAAATAAAACTAAATTACATCTAGGACATCATGGGAAGGAAAATGAATGTTAAAGAAAAATGATATAGGAAGAAAAAAGCTCAGTATTAGCTAACCAAGTTTAAGCCATTTTTCATGAAAGTTCTCCATTTGTGAGCCTGTCCCTGACCCCATTTCCTAAAGTCCTCTATAGAAAAAAGGATTTTTTTGTTAGTTTCAATAAAAAACAAGTCTTTGTTTTTCCTTACAGTAGATTGATCATTTGATGTGGTTAAATATTTGGTATATGAGGATGAATATCTTTATTAATCCCTCCTTTGTGAATTTTCCAAGTTAATATTTCTCAAAAAAAAGACATGTTTGTGGTTATTTTAAATTAAGTAACAAGCCAATATCGATTCCTCCATATTTACATGATATTTCTGTGCCACGGAAATAGCCACTGAACCTTCAGAATGAGACTCCAAAGGACGAAACGGACACAGAACAAGCACAGCAAAGTTAAGTACAAAGTAATGTTTGCTAGAAGCCTTGGTTACCCTTTACGGTCTACTTTAACTAGTCAGTCCATATAGTTCACTAATGATGTCATCCTGCTTTTCCAAAGATTTCATATTCCAGGAACCAATGTCCCTACACAGCTACAACTTCTACCAGGGCAGGGACTGTGTCTTCCCTGTGCATCATTAGAGTCCCAGAGTCCACCAGTGTTTGGTAAATACTTAATGAGTGAAAAAATACATAAGGAACAGCAATAATACTGGCTATTTACTGTTTGCCAGACACTGTAGAATTGACTTCCATTCATCTCCCAATAATTCTTTGAAAGAAGTCCTAGTATTAGTCTTATTTTTCAAAATGAGGAAAATAGAGGCACTGAGATTTTAAGTAACTTGCCTAAGGTCACACAGTTAGTCACTGGCAGGTTTCAAACTCAGGCAGTCTTGCCCCAGGGTTCACGTTTAAACACAATACTATTTCCTCTCCAGAAATGAATGTACTGTGCAATAAAACTCTGTGGCAACATACAAATACAGAGAAAACTACACACAAGTCATCAGTTGGTTTATGTTTTCTTCCCTAGTGCTGGGGGTGGAGCCCAGGCTGTGCACATGCTAGGCAATCTCCCTTCCACTGAGCTGCACCCCAGCCCAGGGTAGGAGTGTTAAGCAGCTTAGAACTCAAAGTATTAATACCGGCATCATCAGATACTGGAATTCTGTGGCAACGGGTAATTTAAAGTGTGATTTCCAAGATCCAACTTTCTGTAGCAGCAAAACCTCCTGAACAGTTAAAGGAGCCCACAGGCTCATTGGCAGCTGATTCAGCTGTAATTGCATGCTGGCCCTTGATCCAGAATAGGAACTTCTCACACTGGCACAGAAGCCAGATTTAAGGTTCTGTGGTGGCTACACGAACAAGGAAAATAATTAGCAGCACACAGGAAATTTTGCTCTATGCGAAGTCACTGGGGCTTCTTCTTCTGGATTAGTCCTGCCTCAGTAGAGGAAAGGGCGTTGGTTAAGACTAGGCTGAAGCTTACTCAAAAAACAGCATAAAGCTCTACTTCCTGCCAGCCTTGCTTTAGGATATCAGTGCTCTGAGACCCCAGATGCCCTTGTTATTCTTTATTTTTTCCAAGTTTTCTTTATGTCATTTTCTTCTATCAGTCATTCTGGAATCCTCTGACTTTTTGTGGGGTGCTGGGGCTAGCACCTGGGGTCGTGAGCAAAGGCAAGTGCTCTAGCACTCAGCTACACTCCTCACCCTACTTCATCCTGTGGGCTGCAAGTGTCCCGTGTACTGAAGATGCTGGGGGATGGAGGGCCACAGCTGAGCAGGAGAGCAGACTCACAGCATCCCAGGGGAAGGGGTGCAGTGCGGACTGATGCTAATGGTGAAGGCTGTGGGCAAGAGGTGGGTGTCTTGGCTCTGCCCTACTGTGCCAGCTGGAGAACCTCAGAGATGCACAGAGCAATTCAGGACTCACGTGGAAGGACCGAGATGCTGCTGGGAAGCCTCCATTCTGGCTACCTTTCAACTGGAAGAACCTGGTCACCCCTGAGGCAACTGCACCAAAGGCTAGTGAGAATGGTCCAAGTCTAAGGAGGCCTTGGAGTTCTGCGGGATGAGGTTAAAGGTTGGCCTCACTGCAACAGGGAGGCGAGGCCAGTGGAATACTGAGTTGAAGTGGAGTGAACAAATGTAATGCAGTCCCAGGCCTGGGAAGATGACATGCAGCTTGAGATCCACAAGCAGGTAGTAAGGGATCTCAGGGGAGAACTAGATGGGAGGAAAAATGAAGCAGGCCTATGAAATCAGACACCACTCTATGTTCAAATAATGCTGGTGTCAACAGAGCTGCAGAACAGGTATGATGACAGCATTTGAATGAACAAAAGAAATGGGCAGGGAGTCAGGAAAGGGGGTCGACTGGGATTCAAGAGCAGTCTTGTCAGTCTGAGGGTCCTTTTCCTGTTCAACAAATTCTTTTGTTCTGTGCCTTATCAATCCCACACCTTGCCTAAGTAAGAATGACAGACAAGCCATTCTTAACGACTTCCTAGCTTTTGAAACTATTTTAAGGCCTAGGACGAGAGAAAGCCACATTTAAGCTGTTGTGTGAACTTGGGTTTCGGGTGGCTTCGCAAAGTTTCCATCCCAAGATGACTACTGCTTTGTGAAGAGAGATGGGTTTGCCTTGTGATGGTGCTGGGTTCCAGAATGACTCCCCGTGGAACCTCCAAAGGACAGGGAAAGCAGGCAGTGCTCTACACTGGCTGTCCTTGTGGGGTCAGCACCGGTGGACTGGTATCTTCCTCCCCCAGGGACAGGGCACATCCTCTCCTAGGCACACCCACTCTCCATTAGCAGAGGGAACAATAGCTGGCTGTGTCAGAGCCGGCCACGCCCTGTGTGGACAATGAGCCTGTATGGCCCTCTCCCTGCCCAGTGACTTCCTTTGCCTTGAGTTCCTTCTGTGCTGAGAGTCTAGCAGGCACCGGCACAGCTTGGTCGGGTTTGAAACCTCTTAGAAGGTGGCTAATGATGGTATACTCACAATATATTCACTGTGGGTGTCTCTTCACTGGGGCTTTCCTAATCTTTGGAAGGTTGTATAACATATAGGAATTTGGTTCAAAACAGAGAAAACAGGTTTAGAAGGCTCTTGTTCTCACAGTTAATGTGCACTTCAGGAGGCAATCATCACATTTCAGTTTCTCTCTGAAGATGCTGTTATCTTTGTACATTTATATTATATTTAATGCTTTGAGTTTTGTCACCATAGGGAGGGTGGATCATATGTAAAGCAATAGCACCAAACTACACATTTTTATAAATTTAGGCAAAGATGCTATGAACTTAACAATACTTAACTACTGGTATTAACAATCTACAATTATTTCTTAATACAGAAACTTTAGTATTGCAAAATTTATCCATATACCACCAATCAGTATGAATTAAGCACCTGTCTTATTAGAATCCTCTTTTAAAAACTACCTAAAGGGAGAAAGACATGTAAAGAAACGATTCTGATGGGTACTTGATGGAATTATGTACAGCATACAATACAGATACAAAGGGGAGGGAAGTATCTCAGGGGTAGCAGCATAATGGCCAGAAAGAGCTTCACAGGCAGGGTGGTCCCTGAGTTGAGGGAGGTCACTAAAAGTTAGGTGTGCATATACTCGCAGAGCTGTGCATGTGGGCACACAAAGGTGGAGCTGAGAGGTCTGTGGCTCTCCAGACCACAGAGACCCCACAGGCCAGGCAGAAGTTCTGTGGGCATCGGGGCCAGCCCAAAACAGGCTAATGGGATGGGACCCGCCGCCAACAATGAACTCCCACTTCTGAAATCAACTCTCCTTGGATCTGGTCTACAGTTTTCCTTTAAGAGGAATGGACTTTGGAGGTGAGAACGGTGTCTCAGCTTTAGTTCCCCGGGTTCTGGCTGGGAAAATACCCCCTGAAGGGCGCCAGAGAGGCACAAGGACAGCACTAACAGCTGGCAGCAGGCACCCCGGGAGAAGGTGCTCCTGGCCAGCTGGCCAGGGTGGCCATTCCCCGACAGCCAGGGTCCTTACCACTTCAGTCGGTCGGTAGTATTTAAGGTCCACCTTCACGTGAATTTTGCCAGTCTCCTTACATCTGCCCACTTCATTTTCATTCTTTCCTTCCCACCTGTAAAGAAGATAAACACTTAACCAGTGTCTAATTGCTTGGGAGCATCTGGCCAAGCTGCAGTCCCCAGGATGGCTGGCCAGCTCGCTGGGGGGGTATAAGCTCATTAACTCAGAGGGGCAGGCCTGTGCTCTTGCCTCAATGTGGGCTCCGCAGGGGCTCTCAAAGCCCTTCTAGAGCTGTGTCAAAAAGACAGATTCCTGGGCACCCCCAACTCCTTGAGAAACATCATGATAAATGCAGAAGCGAGACTTCAGAAATGAAGACATTAGCTTAAAAAAAAAGGGATTTAGATACGTTTCAAGGATTTGAAAGATGTGCTCTTTTTTAGACCACTATCGATAAGGTCAATCATTATAGATTAATTAATGTCTTTTATTCCCCCTCTCTTTTTTCCTGATTTTCATACTTACAGGGGTATTCAGTGCCAGTTTAGTCTGTTCCTTTGGGGGACATGTTCCTGGCCCTAATGGCCACTCACTCCATCCCTCCACTCTGTACCAGTGCTGCCACTCTTCCCAGGCCACACTGGGCCCACGCAGAAATCTCAGATGATGGAGCCTCCGAAAGTGCACAGGGAATTGGTCATTTCCTGCTGAGAGGCACATCCACGCCTCTCCACCAGGGAATGTCATTTGGACACAAGTCTCCTTCCCTGAATGTCCCCGGTTGCAACAGTAAGGAGCCACACATTTCTTCAGTGCACACTGAGCTTCAAGGTCAGCTCATTGTAAAATTCTCATTTGTGCTCTGTTCTCATTAAAAAAAAAAAAAAAAAAGTGAGGCCACTGACTTAATATTCACCTCTGGATTACTACAGCCTAACATCCCAACAACAGAATATATAATATATTTTGAGTTATTTATTGTTAAAATTTTGTTTTGGCAAGAAAATAAATTCAAACTCCTGAATTATGTTTGACTTCAGTGTTTAACCTTAGAATTTGCTGTGTCAGCTGGAAAGAAATCCTATGAACACAGGAAAATTCCATGTGCGCCCTAGATTAAGTGTTGACGGAGATCAAAGGGAAGAACGGAACACTGAGTTTGTTACTTGAATTGAGTCACAAGTGCCACTGACGGTCTTGCAGAGGGTTATATTTTAAAGTAGGTTCAGCATTAAAGACACAAACTAGAGCCACAAAAACTTATTTATTTATTTATTTTTTTTTTTGTACCGGGGATTGAACTCGGGTCCTTGCACTTGCAAGGCAGGCCAGTGAACCGATGAGCTAAATCCCCAGCCCAGAAAAACTTATTTCTGATGGCTCATCTGAAGAATCTGTCAAATCACCTCTTGGTGGCACAGGGGAATACTCAGCTTATCACTATGCTAAGTTTGCCTGTGGACTCAAGGGGAATGTGAAACTGCCCCTAACACCGAGAGAAGAGTGGCATGGTAGATGCAGCAACAGAGACTGGCCACGCGTCACCTCCCGTGACTTCTACACTGGTTAGTGACTGAAAAAGGCGTGTTGGGTAGTTTACTTATTGGCTTTAACTTCTTTCTTAATGTTAAGTATCAGATCACTTTGACAAGTCATGTAGAGCTGAGCATTTCAAAGCCAGGGAACAACTGGATAGGAACTAAATTTTGGAAAATTCACCTGGAAGTGGCATGTGGATGCTTTGGAGTATGGAGACTGAAACTTACAATGACATAACCTAAAATACACATCTAATTCTAAAGTTCATTGTTTAGGTGGAACCTTTTATTAGGTTCTGTATTTCATGGGTATATCTTTATTTTTATCCACACTTTGCACTTCCCAAAGAGACGTAAATTCAGCATCTCTGTGTAAGCCACAGGGTTAACAGAAACCCTGTTCACATTGTTGCTGTTTCTTCCACACGTTGCTGGGTATTCAGCTTAGCACAGGCCATGCTGACTTGTGTACGTATAGGTGTACACACTCCACTATAAGGTACACAGTCAGTATGTCTTTTATATTGGTAATCCTCAGATGTCACAAATTCAAGAAGCAGTGATTCAAACCTATTTATAGTTCTTTCTTGCTTTGTGAAATCAGATACAGACACACACATGAAAAGCCACAGAAAACACTTGAGAGATTTCCCTGATCTGAGGAGCATGTGGGTCAGAAAAGGAATGAGCCCAAGCCGGTGAGGTCCAGAGATTACACGTCTGCAAACTTCTTCGTAGAGAACAGCCTGCCAGGAAATAATTTCTGGGTTACATATCATGTATAGTCTTTGTTATGCATTCTTCCTTTCTCCTCCTTCTTCTTTTGCTTCCTTCTCTCGCTCCTCCTCCTCCACTTCTCCTTGTCATCTTTTCTCTCTACCCAAACCACCCTTTAAAACTGAAAACCACCCACATTCCAGGCATCCATGAGCTCTGGCCTGCAGGCCAGAGTTGTTCCTTTGCTCTAGCTGACTGGGTTAGTGGTATCTACTTCCCCTCAACTACAGAAAACCACAAGACTTATGTTCAGCTGGCTTTTCTGCATCCGCCACTGACTCTCTTTGGTTGCTTCCCTTGTCATAGAGAGCACTGGGGACTTGTGACATTGGCTGAAATGCAAAAAACTCAAGGAAAGACATCCCCCTCTTAGGGACCTGTTATACACAACCAAAAAGTCAGGCTGTGGCTAAAGTTTCTTTGGCACCTACAGAGCCGAGCTCCCACAACCTTTCTTGTTGTCTGAACACTGTCTGCTGGGCCTTGTTCCTGCAAATGCTTGTCTAGCGTCAAAACAATACCTAAGGTCATGCCATTGCCCTCTAAAATCAATATAGCTGCACTGAATAATCAAACGGGAACCAGGAAACAGCCCAAAGCAGAACTGAGTTGGCAAAAACCACTTTCTAATTTGTAGTAGGTCTGAAAGAGGGCAGTAAGCAAGTTTTGGCCAATGGCCAAAAAACATTCAGTTACAATAATACATGAAACACTTGTATTAACAAGTAAAAGGTAACAGCTAACATGTCCTAGTAAATAATGCTGTGAATCAAAGTGGATCTGAAATTTCAATGAAATCATGGTGACTTGACAGGGAGTAGAGGACTCAGCTAATTAATAGTCACTAATGGAGGCCAGCAGCTCACCAAGTAAGGGTCCTATATAATTCATTTTAAAAAAATAAATGTTTGGCTCCTAGTAAGCATTAAATAGCCACAGAAAATAATGACAGAATCATGCACAAAAAGGCCCTATGAGGTCCTTTTACAATGTACTCCTGTAGAAGGCCCTTTCAGGAACACGAAAGAGCAAAATCCACCAGGTGAGTCCTGCTTAGGATGAGTCCATCTGCACGGCAAGGCGCGATGCAGTCCTTGGGGAGATGAGGGCCACGAGAGCTCTCAGGACTTATGTCCATGACAGGCTGTTTATTTGGGTGTGGGTACAGAAGCAAAGGCTGCCACCGTGAGAGCTCAGTCAGTGATGGTCCTGGCAGAGACGGAGGCTTGCACACAGTTTTGCTTCCTCCCCAGGCCACTTATGAAGCTGGAATGAATTCACAAGGCTGCAAGCACAGGAAAGAAGCCAGATTCTGGAAGCTGGGGGCAGACTGGAGGAGCGTTAGGGGGCCTAGCAGAGCCCAGCTGCAGATGCTCGGGATCCTGGGCCACCTCTCCTAGTCCTTATCACCTGGCAGCCACCTCACCCAGCCTGAGGAGAAAGGTCACTGGGCTGAAGGTCCCCGGCCCAGGGCAGTCAGGGTGCTGAAATGGGGGACAGAGCAAGTGTCTGTGTGCCCAGCAGGGGGGCGGGCCAGCCTCCTGCTGAACAGCCCCAGGACCACTGCCTTAGGGACACAGCCAACTCTAGCCATGCTATCACTGCACAAGACACCAAATTCACATCGCAGTCCTAACTTAAACATAAGTAGAAAACTGAGGCTTAACACACAACTGTGAGGAAAACCACATACGTGAAAGGTCAAATCAAAATAAGTCAAACCAACAATAACAACTTGAGGGGAAACAGAACAAGCATGAAGAAAATTAAAACCAAATAAAAACAAAACACCCCTTCCAAGTAACATCTTTAATATCCCCAGACACAGAAATATGGATATGGAGGGGGAGCCAAGCAGGCTAATATATTATAAAAGGATAATATAAACAAATTGAGAGATTTTAGAAATTGAAAAAGACAACCAGAAATTTAAAACTCAAGAAAAAGTTGAGGACATCTCCCAGAAAATAGAATACAAAGATAAAGGCATAAGAATAGAAGGAAGGCAAGCTCAGGAGAAGTTTCCAAAGTGTACAGGAAATTGGAGCAGAGCACTTGATTTGCCTCTGTGGGCCGAGCATGGCAGCCAGAGTCTGCAGCATAGCTCTTCAGGAGGCTAGAAGGTCACTTGGGCTAAAGACAGGCTGGGCAACACAGCCAGATCCCATCTCAAAATCTTAGGCAAGTTACTTTTTCGTTTTCAGTATGTTTTTATTAGCTCCTATTAATTTTACAGGACATTGGAGTTCAATGTGGTGCTTCCATACATGCACAGAACATAATCTGAACATCCAGCCCCTCTTACCTTCTCCTCACTCTGCTTGGATACCCTTTCCCCTGCAGGGCAGACCCCAGGCTGCACACAGCACCCTGCCCAGAATTCTACAGCTTTATTCATGCCAACAAAGATAACTGTTCTTAAGTAAGCTGGTTCTGGCAGCAAGAAGCCCAGCTGTTAATGTTACGGAGAGTGAACTACAATGAGAGAAGAAAATTGAAACCCATTCTCCAGCTCTACAGGGGAAGGCACTTCTCAAGATTAACACATATGTCCCACGCTTTCTCTATCCAGGCCCTTCTCAGTGTTAACTACTGACCTCTGCCAAGAGGCAGGCAGGGAGTGGAGTCCGCATTTTATAAATGGGGAAAAAGGGCTGTGGGACTTGCAGAAGAAAGCACGGGTGACAGTGTGAGGGCCAGCATTGCAGAGCCAGGCCTCTAGGCTGCTGGGTAGGGGCTCAGGCTGACACCTTCTAAAAAGGGCAGTGACAATTTTATGGGTAAGCCCCTCCCAAAC